CTTTCTCTTTTGTCTGCATTTGGCAATCAGAGCCAACCTTTCTCAAGCACTTACTCAGGTACCATTCAATCCTCACAACTACTCCATGAAATAGGCGTAATTATTTATGAAAATAGATACTATTATTCACAGTACTTATAAATTATTGTTTGTAGATCAAAAAATTGAGTCTTAAAGATGTTCAAAATAATTATTGAAATAGGTCAACCTCTTAAGTTTTCCCTGTACGCTTCTTTCTGGAATAAGAAAAGCCCTTTCCTCTTTAGCAGTGTGAATCAAAACCCAATACCGAAGAGATGAACATATTATCACACTCAGCTCCAGACATTCCCATAAAGTCAACTACTCTAACAAAAGTGCTACTTCCTGGAAGTAAAAGTGCAAGTAAGGACTTTTGTTTGATGCAGCTAACAGCAAAAAAGCAGAAAGCCTGGGTCAAAAAGTAATGAGATGCATGGGCTAATCAGCAGAGGCCATTTCGAGAGCCAGAATTTGCCTTAGACCAGGACATGGGACAACATGGCATGTTCTGTTAAATTTTATTCCTGAAATGAGGGCATCAGTAATACAAGAGGGGTATCTCAGAAACGATACGGTTCAAATTCCTTTCCTGAAAAAAATAGCTATAGACCATCCTTCACAATGAGCATCCAGAGGCTACCAAAGTTAGGCTGCTCACTAATTTATAGGGCTATACCTTCCCTTGTTGGATAGCTGTGGTGTATTAGTTTTTATTGCCACATAACAAACTTAGTGGTTTAAAACAACACAAATCCATTATCTCGCAGTTTCCGTGGGTTAAGGGTCTGACTGTGGATCCTCTGCTCAGTGTCTCACAAAAAGATCAAGGTGTCCTCTGGGCTGTGTTCCTTTCAGAGATCAAGGACCTCTTTCCAGATCACACGGTTATTGGCAGGATTCAGTTGTTTCTTCTAGCACCGAGAGAGAGAGACCACCCCCCCTTCTCTTGCTGGTTGTCAACTAGAAGTTGCTCTCAGTTCTCAGTTCTTAGACACAGAGCTCTTACCACACAGAGCTTTCCATCTTCAAAGATGCAATGGAAGAAGCTCCCTTGCATCAAGCCCCTAACATGCTCTGAATATCCATAACTCCAGAAAGAACGCAAGCTCTTTTCTGTGCTCACCTGATCAGGTCAGGCCCACCTAGGCACTCTCCCTTTTGATTAACTCAGCTGAGTCTATGTTGATTACATCTGTAAAATCCATTTTGCCACACAACATAACATAGTCACAGGAGTTACAGCTCATATTTATGGGTTCCACCACACTCCACTGAAGGCAATTATACAAGGGGAAGAGTCAATGGAGAGGTATCATGTTAAGATTCTGCCACCACAGTTGGTTAGGAAATTGTCCTGTAATGAAAATAAATCAGGCTGGATTCTGCCAACTTATACTCTGTTCTCCACATCAGCCTCTCAACTATTGGAAGACAAGTGCCTTGATTATTCTTTGGGTAACTATTCCCAATATC